GATTGGGTTAATTGATCCAAGACAGCGTCATCCACCGTGAGATCGGGTCCTTGGTAATCTGATAAGCGCGTAGTAGAGGATAAGCTGACTCCCGAAGGAGGATCACGTCGATACGTGGAAGCTGTTCTTCACGCAAGGGAATCGTGTCCTGGTCGCTCATCGACGACGATCAGACTTCCTTAATGCTGTTCCTGGTTCTCGGAGAGAACAGCTGTACCATTGGTGAGATTTTTGCACAACTTACAGAGACGTGTCAACGACCGGACGATTGCAGTCCAATCCCTCACGGTATAACAGGTCTCCGACTCGCAGCTTTTGCCTCTGCTCTTCGTGCTTCCTTCGTTGCGTGTCCGAGGAACTTGTGTCTCGCACGTTGATCCTTTGCTGTCCAATTAGAGATTCCAATTCATTATAGCACAATCCACTGTTACGGTTTTCGTGTTAGTTTCTGTCTTGGAAAATCGATAACGGGCTGCATTTGTCTCTCTATTCTAACAATCGTTCTTTTGCTATACATATATTTATATAATGGCATTCTCCAATATGGTTTCATTACGTCTCTACAGTAATAAAATATCGAGACACTAAAAATATCGAGTGGCTGCCATTTGAATTTTTCTACTTATTCGAAGAACAAAAGGAAACACGTAATTCTGCTATATTTTCTTCGTTTTCAATATACCAATTGAATGTCTTGCAATGTTTTACAATTATAAAATAATTTGAATAAGAGTACTATTTTTATTAAAATGCTATTATGAATTAGAATGTTATTAATTGATACAGTTAGAATAGAATTGCGAAAGTATCTTAATATCATTTATAAGCACTACCTGTTTGCCGTACATTATTGCAAGTTTCCCACAATTCAACGATACCAGTGAATGAATTTAAAAGCAGTTTTTCGTCACTGCTGCGTAAGTACATTTCATTTTCAAAATTAAGGATATTAAGAGAATATAAAAAGCAAGTTAAAGTCCTAATGGAACTGTACGCGTTCTTATCTCACACCTTGTTATATTATTTTTGTAGACGATTTTACGCTTCTTATATTAGTCATTGTTTTTTCTACATTAGCATTTTACACTTTTACATTACACTTAACATTTACGCTTTACGTTTTTTACAATGTATACGAGCAAGATTTTACGCTATGATGGTTTAATCGTGCAGCATTATCTCATGCGTGTAAGATACCACACACTAAAGTATCCTCGTGTTAGTATGAAAATCAAGGCTGCTCCAGATAATCGGGGATGTAATGAAGATTGACGATCCGATAGCAGATAATGACGAAAGCGTTGTACGTGCAAAGATATTATGTGCAAGGGTGTAATGTCTGAAGAAAATGTCAAGATCATTATCCGTGAGATAAGCATTGTGAATTCTTACGAATTATCATACTTCGTTAAGAAGCGGATTCATTAACCGCGATATCTGACTTAAGAGGTATCTTAATTGCAATAAAATCAGGTGTGACATCCTAACGACGGTTTTAATCATTATTTATGACTATGGTTCTATCGCAAGTATGTTGTTAACTGTATATATTTTTATTACACAACTGTTATTATGTCTGTGTGTGTACGCGCGCGTGTCCCTCATTATACGTTTCATTTTCGTGAATCCAGAAAGATATCTGGACATCTTATTTTTGCAAGGTGCAATTCAATTATAAAATTATGAAAAGATCAACACAACGTGATTCTTCTTTTCGTTATTATTACACCTGTGCATCGTGGAATATTATGGAATAATGTAATACATTTTTAAAAATTAATACAGCGGATTTTTACGCAATTTCATGTTTTTGTGTAGAAAGCTAAAGGCATGGAATGTACGCAGTAATTTGTTTTGTCTACTGAAAATTACGACGAGTACTGCGTCTTATATATTTTATATATTATTAAATTTATTTATTAATTACTATTATACAATATTAAATTAATTAAATTTATCATAAATGCGTGAAAAAAATCCAGAATCTACCAACGGATATGTAACAGTGAAATTAGCATTTATAGTATCAGCTCTTATAAAACAATTCTATCGTTCGAACAATTCTTTATCCTTAGATCGTTTAATTTCTAAGCTACTGACCGGACAAATAAAGTTCTTCTGACTTGGTAAAGATATTACCGCGGTCATAATACAAATAGCAGGAAGGTATGACAAAGGATAAATAGGCGATTGAGCAATTAATTTTCTATCCTTTAATCTAAATTGAAACGTCCGAAGAAGAATTGGTGAGATTAAAACAATGTGATCGGCACGCAACTCGCGCGCTTACGTTTCCATTAAACTCGCGAGTACACTGTGGAAAGTAATTTGTCCGTGGCACGTGAACTGACTGAAATTACACGAATGGATGAGACAGGAATGCTCTGTAAGGTGTGAAAAGACAGCACGGTGGCAAAATAGATACGTTTTGTTATATTCTGTTCGTTCTCCTAATTGCCGGCCCGTGCAAATCGCGCTGAAAATATCGCGTCGTCTGACGAATGAGGAAACACGCAAAGACATCTAATTAGCTGGAACGTTTGTCACACTTTCAACAAGTTTTAATAGGGCACTCCCACCCGAGACGAATTACTTTCCTCACGACCGGAAACATCGCGATATTTTTATGTGTCTTTGCGACAGTCGGTTGGAATTTCTCGCGTTAATTCCGTACGAAAGTCTATTTGTTTATCAAAAGAACGTAAGGTAATTTCCAAGCCTTCCTCCTCGCCGCTATCTCTCGCGTTCGTTTATTTACCTTGACGAGAAGCAGTTCCTCGTTACTAATTAATTAACCAATTAAAATTCAACGAAAGACCGTCTGTATCTTCCTGAGAAACTGTCTACAGCGAAATATTAATTCCTATATTTTCGCAGACCAAGTACATACGGCCAGCCAAAGAATTAATTATCGATACTTCGATATTAATTGTCTAATTAGGAACGCCAGTCTTCTTCTACGGATAAATAAGTATCTGTCTTGGTTCTGTTCTTAAAAAAGTATTGTTCCTTCTACTGTGATCCAGTCGGAAAGTTTCGTCGGAAAGAAGCTTGTTTCTTCATTGAATGGAAACATCTATAAATATTATTCCATTGCTATTCGATTTTGCAATTACTCGTGTCAGTTATATATCGAATAATCGTGGAATCGATGGCCAAGAGGGAAAGGTTTACTTTAAATCTCACACTCTACATCTCAACAGTAACGACGTACACGATACACGTTCCTTGAATTCGACACGCGTGTACATTAAATTAATTTTCTTCACGAACTGTTCGTCGCTTCAATTACGGAGTATTACGCGGCCATTGGGATTGAATATAAACGAACTCGACTAGCGTTTATGAAAAATAAACGGGCAAAAAGATTCGCGCTTGGTCGCGCATCGATGTAAGTTGCCAGGTTTAAAGTGTCCACGCTAATTAAGCGGCCGAGAGATCGATTCGAAGATCGGTCGAAATCACGGTAGCTGGCAACAATCTCCGACCGACACTCCTGTTTAATCGACAGTAGTGACGTTTATGGAAGCCTCTTGCTTTGCATAATTGCCGCTTATGCACGTTCAACGATGGTGCAAGAGAAGAGAGGGAGAGAAGGGAGAGAGAGAGAGAGAGAGAGAAGGGGCGTCTTTGGTTGCCGGATGGGGTTGTTGGACGGTTGGCTACGTGTTTGTGTATTTCTGCGATGTGCCGAGTACTTACCACGTACTTGCTGCTCAGAATGGCAACACTAATGGTACCTCGACAATGCAACGAGCTGCAAACAGGACTCCTGTCTTTATGGGGTTGCTATACTCCCCTTTACCTACCTCACCTCTTTCCTTTTCCGTTTCGTTTACCTTTTATTTTTCATTTTTTGTCATGTATTATACGTGCCTGCCACGCATAAGAACAAAACCACAAAGAGACAGAAATACAATATAAAACCGGACACAGTTGTAACATCGCCGCGTAAGGAATACGATAAACTACCTTAAAAGAAACAAACGTATACTTCAAAATATAATCCATCCAGACCCAACAGCGTCGCTAATGATCTTGCAGTCGATGCGACGTAAAACGTGCAAGAAGAAGAGTTTTCTTTTTGTTTTTTTTTTTATAAATATCTTTGTATACAGCGAGTATGGGGCGTGTCTACGAGAATCGAGTACAAAGTTCGAGCAATCATATTTGGCTTTCTTAATGCTAAGAACTCGTCAAAGAAGTAACGGTGTTCGATTTAAAACAAATTTCGTACAGGTTTGCGGGGCACATCAGAAACTTATGACGCGTGTGCACGATTTATTCGCATAGCGGATCTTTACGACAAGTAATATCCTACACGCGCTTATGCCCTTTCCGTGTGTCGGTGCAATTTGTCCTGAATGATGGCGATGCACTATTGCAATATCACCAAGGACAACTTACGACTCTCTTTTTTCCTCCCTTGTTTCTTTTCTCATCCGGAGTGCGTCATTGCAGCTTGTGTCAGTCATACGTAGGTACACACGTATGTACGTAGAAAGCAGATGTGGAGAATTTTCTTTTATTTACCTTTGGCGTTCGTTACGTGAAAGATTTTCGCGTTGATAAATAATTGCGTAACAAGGAAATGGAAAATACATTGCGTACTGTATTCTGAATATTTAAGGAGTAAAAATACTATCTTAGATTTAATATAAATTATAATTATAAGCGTAATATAATTATTTATAATATATAGGTCTATACCTAATATAAATTAAAATTTATTATACCATAGAATTAATTTTATTTAAGGTATCTAATATAAATATAATATAGTGTTATCATGGTTATTGAGTACGTTTGAGCGACGTAAGACGAGCGATATGAAAAGTTATTGGCTATGTTATTCTGTTTCTTAGCTTTACGATCAATATATACGTATATTTGGTGAATAATTCATCAAACGCTGCGCTAAAATTGTTTCATACGCCGATGTATATATATAACTGTAAATGTGAGTTACCGTGGAAAACTGGGAAATGAAGTGCACTAACCTGTTCTGCAGATTCGGTGATAAAAGAGTGGCAATATTGTATGCTGAAGTGCGCTCTAGGCTCTCGGGCGAGGAAGCTGAATTGAGCGTGCTGAGGTTCACAGGTTGCGTACGAGATGCGCCTTAACGCGTGCGCCATTTGCACGCACTGAAAAAAATGAAAAACAAAGCCGATAATTGTTTATACTTTCAAATCAGTTTATATTTTCTTACATGTTTGTGCTACAGTTTTTTTTTTTTTTTTTTTTTTTGGG